TAATCACTTTCTGAGAGTTTCTCAGTGGTTTATGTGATATTTTGCTAACAGACAGAGTTGACACCAATCATTAATGGCAAAGATACAATTCAATTCAGTTTATTTATATAGCTCCAAGTCACAACAGAAGTTATCTCAGGGCACTGAACAGAAACATTCATATATAAAAATAATGATTTAACATTATTTATCTGAGGAACAGACTGTTTTGAGTTCCAAAAAAGTTGGGACACTAAACAAATTGTGAATAAAAACTGAATGCAATGATGTGGAGGTGCCAACATCTAATATTTTATTCAGAATAGAACACAAATCACAGATCAAAAGTTTAAACTGAGAGAATGTATCATTTTAAGGGAAAAATCTGTTGTTTCCAAATTTCATGGCGTCAACAAATCCCAAAAAAGTTGGGACAAGTCCATTTTTCCCACTGTGTGGCATCCCCCCTTCTTCTTACAACACTCAGACGTCTGGGGACAGAGGAGACCAGTTTCTCAAGTTTAGAAATAGGAATGCTCTCCCATTCATGTCTAACACAGGCCTCTAACTGTTCAATCGTCTTGGGCCTTCTTTGTGGCACCTTCCTCTTTATGATGTGCCAAATGTTCTCTATAGGTGAAAGATCTGGACTGCAGGCTGGCCATTTCAGTACCCGGACCCTTCTCCTACGTAGCCATGATGTTGTGATTGCTGCAGAATGTGGTCTGGCATTATCATGTTGAAAAATGCAGGGTCTTCCCTGAAAGAGATGACGTCTAGATGGGAGCATATGTTGTTCTAGAACCTGAACATAGTTCTCTGCATTAATGGTGCCTTTCCAGACATGCAAGCTGCCCATGCCACAAGCACTCATGCAACCCCATACCATCAGTGATGCAGGCTTCTGAACGGAGCGTTAACAACTTGGGCTTTCCTTGTCCTCTCTGGTCCGGATGACATGGCGTCCCAGTGTTCCATAAAGAACTTCAAATCGTGACTCATCTGACCACAGAACAGTCTTCCATTTTGCCACACTCCATTTTAAATGACCCCTGGCCCAGTGCAAACGTCTGAGCTTGTAGAGCTTGCTTAGAAATGGCTTCCTCTTTGCACTGTAGAGTTTCAGCTGGCAACGGCGGATGGCACGGTGGATTGTTTTCACTGACAATGCTTTCTGGAAGTATTCCTGAGCCCATTCTGTTATTTCCTTGACAGTGGCATTCCTGTTTGAGGTGCAGTGACGTTTAAGGGCCCGGAGATCACGAGCATCCAGTAGAGTTTTACGGCCTTCACCCTTACGCACAGCGATTGTTCCAGATTCTCTGAATCTTTTGATGATGTTATGCACGGTTGATGATGATAACTTAAAAGTCTTTGCTATTTTATGCTGGGTAACACCATTCTGGTATTGATGCACTATCTTTCTGCGCAACAATGGTGGAATTGGTGATCCTCTTACCATCTTGGCTTCTGAGAGACACTGACACAGTTCAAAAACTTGCCTCTCTGGTGGTATGGGGGTGCATTAGTGCCTGTACATGGGCAGCTTACTGTAGCATGAAGATGTGCTCACCTGACCATGACCTCTGACCCTGAGTTCACCTTTCATAACCTCCCTTAACTGGTTTTATTTAAAGTTACTTTAGATCTGAACAATGTCTGATGTTTTCACACATTCACTGTCCTGGAATTATTTACAATATCACTTATAGTTTGATAAATTATTACATGTTTCTTTTAAGCTGTTAAGGTAGAAAAACATATTCATAAAGTTAAGCTTAGTTTATTAGATTGACATGTGTGAACATGAATAATGTTGATTATTATTTGCAATCATTGTCGTAAAATTATGTGAAATGTTTAAATATGTTTTAACATATTTTCTCTGCTTTGTTTTCAGAAATAACTCAAGTTTCATACAACTTAACTCTGTGTAGAGTTCTGGGGCAGAAAAGATCATTAAACATCAGACGGTGGTCAAAACACTCTGGAAATGCCAGCACCGTCCTCGGAGCTGAAATCATAAAAAAGCTGCACTTTTGTGCAACGTGATCTGTTCTGTTCATCTGTTTTCCACATCTCCTGATGTGTTTGTGTGTTGTCCATCATCTTTGTTACTCTTGATAAAAGATAAATAACGGAATAAAGAAATGTTTTCATATAAAATAAAATAGTTTTTCCCACTGCAAGGCTTCACAGCTTTAATCTCTGGACTGCTTATCACCCGCCGACTATCCTCATTAGCTGTCTTCCAGCTGACCCTGTTAACATCTCACCTGGATGATGACAGTGGATGAATATCTGGCACAATCCTACAAGGACCTCCTGCACCGTAATCTGTTTCCTACATGGAGTTTGAGGCTCGATCAAAGTCCTGGACAAACAGAGCAACCATGGGCTGCACATCCAGACTCGATCTGGAAAGAGGTCGAGAATCTGGTGAGGACTTCAAGAAACATTAGGTCTGGTTATGAATTATAAGCTGAGGTAATTTAGTAAAATATTATTTCCTTGCTTGCAGTGTTAAATAACTCAATCTGATTAAATCTAATAACGTCTCGTCCAAATTTTAAAGTAAACTATCCATCCATCCATCCATTTTCTTTACCCGCTTGTTCCATTTTGGATCACGGGGGTCGCCGGTGCCCATGTCCAGCAATCACTGTGCGAGGGGCGGGGTACACCCTGGACGGGTTGCAAGTCCGTCACAGGGCCACATAGAGACAAACGAAACAAACAACCATTCACTCTCTCTCACACCTAGGGACAATTTTAGAGTTACCAATCAGCCTAACATGCATGTTTTTGGTCTGTGGGAGGAAACTGGAGTACCCGGAGAAAACCCACGCATGCACGGAGAGAACATGCAAACTCCACCCAGAAAGGCACCTGGACCGGGGTTTGAACCAAGGACCTGCTCGCTGAGAGGCAGCAGCTCTACCAGTTGCGCCACCGTGCTGCTAAAGTAAACTATTGATCAAATATTTAAACTTTTTTTAAATTGTTACACGTATAAAACAAAAATAAATTCTGTCCAAATAATTATTTTCTTTAAGATAAAAGAGAATTAATCCTTGATTAATCCTAATTGCTTTATCAAGTCCAAGTATTCATTCAACAACTACTTCTTCAAACTAGTTTTACCCCAATCTTATTCTTTATTTATTATTGTTTAATTTTTTTTAATGATTTTTGTAAAAAACAAACAAACAAAAAAACAGTAAAGACTAATTCACTCCCCTCATTTGGATGAATATTCATGTTATGGTACAGAATTTCCTGTAATTAATGGATTCAATTCAGTGACTGAGTTCTGATGATTAAATTGTGAATACATTAATGAAGCTGTTATTGGTCAGTCAAAGGTGTCCTGGTTTAAAAGTGCAAAAATAAGTGTAGTAGAGTGAGGAGCAAGTGTCACCCTTCTTCCTTCATCATGCCTCTTATTGTATGACTACATTACTCATCTGGAAAGCACCATCAATGCAGAAACATGGGTTCTCCAATCCAGAGAGCGTCTTTTTCAGGAAGGGTTTTGCATATTTCATCAAGACGATGTTAAACCCCTTACTGCATCCATTCCATCTGGGCTTTGTAGTAGAAGACTCTATGCTAAAGTGTCCTTCTACAGTCCAGACTGCTCTTACCGACTGAAAACATTTGATGCCACGTGAAACAAAAAATATGACAAAGAAGATTTAAGACTGCTGACATGCTAGAATCCTCCATCATACAGGGATGTAGACCAAAACCTCCAGCTGCTCTTCTCAGTTCTCAAACATTTACAGACTGTTGTTATTGAACATCATTCTGCCCCAACTTTATTTTAGGTCTGTTGCAACAGTCTCGTTTATTTTCAGACGTGGTGTAATCGCTGTGAATGAATTATGGGTTTGTGATGTTTGTAGATCATAACATATTCTGATTTTACTTACATATTACAATTGTAACTTTTCAGAATTGGGGCATCATTTGCTTGTATTTGAGCCTTTCTAAGAATCCTTATTATTTCATGTTGCTGTGTTCATTGGTCCTCATCTGCTACAGACTCGTGTTCGTGCTGTACCATTGGTGCTTAGTGTGTTCTTAGTTTAGTGAGTGTAGTATATTCTTAGTTCATTCTCTGATCTTACTAATATTTTTCATTACAATTTGTGTTTTTGTTGAGTGTAACTGGGACCCTATGTGCATAGTTTCATCCCACCTCATGTATCATGTGGTGTGCATGACAAACAAATCTCTCTGACTCTGATAATGTCATACCATAATTTACACAATAATCTAGTTTTCTGAGGAGTTGCTCCTGTATGGATGGCCTCATAATATTTGCCTTTTAAAACATGTCTTGATCTACGCATCAGTTGTATTTTTTATGATGCAATGATCTTCCCGGCTGCTGTTCTGTCCAACAGTTCCTCCATGTTTCAGTGATGTAGCTTCGAGGAGCTGTCCGCGGTGCTGAAACACCTCCTGCTCCCCTCTGATGGGAGGATACACAGAGATGTGTCACTGAGGAGACTCTTCATCAGTTTCTTCAAACTGAAAAGAAAGACACGATCATATTTCTCTGGCTAAATAAACAACAACATATTTCTGTGCTTCTTTCTCACGTCTCCTCCTCCATCATCATCATCATCAGGGATAAACAGTGGTGAGATATTTTTAGACAGACCCTCCTCCTTCTCTTCCTGTTCAGACTTTCTCCCTTCGGGGACCAGGGCTGAATCTAACCAGAGGTAGACGCCAAACTGACGTCAGAGCACGAGGAATTTGACGTGTGAACCCCCCACATCGAGTCCACACGCACGCACACCCACACACACACCAGCCCTGCCTATCAACAGTATCTCCTCTCCTCCTCTGGACTCAAAGCGCGCAGTTGTTCTCCTCTCCACCTCCTTTTCTGATCCTCCCTGTCAGCTCGCGGCTCCGCTCCTCCTGAGGATAAACAATCTGTAAATATTGTTTTTATTTATTTGTTTATTTATTTTCTCCGTCTGGCTGCGTTCCCCCCCCCTGACATGGAAGTGAGATGCCGTCCAGCGGTGCTGTTGTGTGTGGTGGCCGTCCTCTGCTCCGTGGTTCCGGGCTCCGTGGGCTCTCTGTTCGGGGACAGACAGTACCTGAACGAGTGGGCCGTGGAGATCCCGGGTGGGATGTCTGCCGCCCAGGCCATCGCCAAGGAACTGGACTACGATCTGGTCCGACAGGTGAGGCTCCCACCAACGCCCCGGAGCAACACATCTACTCTGACTATAATAATAATAATAATCATAATCATAAGTTCAAGTCACTTTATTATAAGGGACCTGCTTAAAGGCTAGAACTGGAGGAAAACTGAAACAGGTTCGGTTTAATCTTAAAGAGATTTACAGCAGCAGCCTCACCAGAACAGCCTTGAGTTTTAATTCAACCAGGAAGCTGTGGAGCCTGTAAGCCGATCAGGAAATAGGAAATCAGTGTTTGTTTTTCTTAATTTAAATGCGTTTCAGCTTCCTGTTAAATCACAGGATTACAGCAAGCTATGACTCACTGCCTCATCACTTGTGACGAGCCCTGACTGGACCACACCGGTCCTGTCCATCAGTCTGTCCCACTTATCTGAGTCCAGACCGGACTGTCAAACACCAACAGGTTCAGTTAGACCTGGCCCAGTTTGGCTTTTTCCACGACTAATAAAAACTAAATACATTAAAGCAACATTAAAAACAATATATATGAATTGGACACAGTGTTTCAATTTACAGTAATTTTTTTTTTACTTTAATCTTGTTTTTCTCATCTATATGTAAGCGTTTTTATAAATCATCTATTTGTATTTAAATATTATGTCCTGTGTGGGGAAATGTCTCATGTATGAGTAAACATTTCAAATATAAAAATCATTTGACATGTGCCAACAGAAAGCATCAGAGGAAATATAATTGTACCACACTGACTACCTCATATACTTCCATACATTTTAAAGGGCTCCTGTGGGGCAAAGTGTCACAATATGTCAGTTCTTAGAGAACGGTTCAACGCTTACAATAATCTAAGTTAACGAAACATTAAATTCATCTAGTCGTGAAAGAAAACAGGTTATTGAATGATGAAAGGGGCAGGGTGATGAGAAAGTGATTATATAGTATAATATATTTAGCAAAAATCACAGGTCAAGCGTTGCAGCTTATTTGAGTTTTAAATTGTTCCACTAAGCCGACCAGGTCTATTGCTGTTAATCTGATTAAAATTCTGTAATCCATCTTTTAAGTGACTTTTCTTAACATTTGAGGACAGTTCATTCAGAGGACATTAATTACACTAAGAATATAGTGTTAGATTAGCTTGGTTTAAGTATTGCCTGTTCTCCACAGAGATAATGGGGCGAGTTTTCAAGTCTTTAAAGCTCACACAGCTGAACACCATGGTTCTCCAAGTGTATCAACTGGATGTTACGCAACAAGTTAATTTACCATCAGAAGATGAACTGTGATGAATAACAAACCATGAATGTACCAGTAAAATCTTGGCACCAAATAGAAACTTGAAACCAAAGCGTACTGGAAAATCTTTTGGCAAGTGTTGTGTAAACTGGAGTGCACCTGATGTGCTGCTTAGACGGGGTCATTTAAGTCCAGTAACTTGGACTGAAATTATTTAAAATTAATTTTACATTTTGTATTCAACCGTGAGGCAGAGGCCCAATGAAAAAGCTTGTCTTTGTGTTTAACATATCTGTAAAGAGGGTGAATGTGCTGAATAAACTGATCTTTACTCATTTAATAATGATGCACGGTGAACTGCGGGAGGAACAAAAAGCAAAAATGACGTCTCGGTCTCCAGATTTCATCTAGCTTCCCGTTAAACAAATTTTCTTCTCCGACACCACGATTTTTCTCCAGATCGGGGCCCTGGAAAACCACTTCTTGTTCAAACATCAAAATCATCCTCGCAGAATGAGGCGCAGCAGCGAGCACATCACCAGGCAGCTGTCGGAGGATGATCGGGTAAGTGACCCGATCAGGATTTTCTTGTCTGTGTGGGAGCTCTTTGTCTTTAAAGACAGTTGAGAATGTCTCCGTGTGTCTGCGCAGGTGCTGTGGGCAGAACAGCAGTATGAAAAGCGACGCAACAAGCGAGCGGCCCTCAGGGACTGCAGGGACTGTCCTGTGGACAAGCTGTTTGACGATCCCATGTGGAACCAGCAGTGGTACCTGGTGAGTTTCCAAGACTGCCTCGACAAGATGAGAAACAAGTTTTCCATCAAATCAACCAGTTTTGGACACATTTCTGGGCAGATTTAGATTTAAATCTGGTCATATGTTGTGTGCACTGGGCTCTGGTTTGCCCTTCTGTTTGTCTGCAGCCTGTCTGCCTAAAAACTAAAACTCCTCTTTGTCACATGCTTTGAGCTGGAGCTCACTCAGCACACATCTGCAACACTTTCATACATGCAGCAGGTGCGTCAGTCTCTGTGCCTGCATGTTTGAAGGCATTACTGCAACAAAAATAAACAGTGAAACAATAGCTTACCATGCAGGCAGCTCCAGCCAAAAGATCCATTTGCTTAATTGGTTCCACAGCCCCTGGTGGAGATGAGGGATGATAATCCAGGAGGATGATGCAGAGTGGAGCAACGTGCATTTACCCAGTAAGGCAGGTTTTAGACACGAAGGAGCGAAACAGCAGATTGTCACAGCAGCGTCTCCTATTCGGATCCATTACTGACGTGTTTACGACAAGCTGACCTCAAATCCTTTGCTGATTTTGATCCACGAGCTAAAAATAAACTCAGGAAGACAGATCATTAAAGGCCTATCAGGGCTGAAAACTAAAACCACCTTATGTTGACAAATGACCGTCGAGCCATTTCAAATAACATCATTGACGATCTAATGCAATACTGCAAAATGTCATGATCTGGTCGGGCTCAGACAGAATGATTCTCAGCTACTACCACAACTAATTTTAACCTGATAGCTGCCAAATCTACTGAGTTGTAGCCATTTGTGTTTGGTGAGGTTGACTAGCTGTGGTGGCCATCTTGAATTGGATTGACTGCAACAAAATCGGTTGTAGATGCACATATGGGTCGTTTCTGAGCGTTTCATTAAAATGTGTCTACTGGTTCTTTATTTTACTAACACAGCACACAAATGAGCACAGACATGCAAAATCATCAGTGCACGCCTTTTGCGTTTTGGTGGCGGCTGATAATTAAACTAAACAACATCAGCTGTTAGGTGCAACAAACAGGACGGTGTCGTTTTGATTTACAAGTGCTCCTATTTTAATATTCAACTAATATCTACAGGCTGAATCTGCTCATTAGAACAAATCATGGTGGACAAACTGATTGCAAACAGCAAGAAATGAGGCTTTTGTTTTATTCTTTTAGTCCATATCAGATCAGAGCATGTTCACCATGATGATAAGCTGCAGGAAGCAGATGGGTTCTGATTTTGGCTGCATAATCTCACTTGTTTTTTTATAAATGGCTTAATAAATTGAGGTTGACCATTAAATCCTAAACTGCAGTCTGCATCACCATTAAATATCTCCTCCTAGATCTAAGAAAAACAGCATAAATGTGTGTGAAGTGTGTGTATTTGGGCTGGAGGACATTTGTTCTCTCAGACTTGAGGTTTTTTTTTTTGTTTTTGCACCTGCACTAACCAAACATGAGTCATGCTCAGAGTGGATGAGAAAACAAATTGAGATGAATCACTTTTGCCGATGAGGGATGATGACACTAATGGAATTGGCCTTAAAGTGCCGCTTTCCGTATTTCCACATCAGGCTGTGTGTGTCACGACAACGGGCCGTGTTACAGCTCATCTGAGGCCCGTGTGATTCACTCGCTTCCTTCATTTAGCCCGAATGAAATGCAGCATCAGAGAGAACAGAGGGCTCCATGTCGCTTTTCTTTTTGCCTCTGTCGTTGTGAATATTAGTCTTGTTTTCTTATTTTAGCAGCAACAAATGAGGGCACACGGGATAATGAGGGGAGTGATTAGATAACGTAGAGACAGAGGGTTGTAAAATAATGCAGTGTGAAGAAGATGAAAAGTGATGCTGGCAGGCTTTGATGAGCGCTGATGCTGGACTGAGGGCGGCGCAAGGACCTGTAGGACAGCAGAGGTACAGATCAGTGTCTTTATTTGTCACAAGTGGGCGACTGCCTGAACTTCATTAAAGCATGACTCATTCCTGCGGTCTGAAATTACTCCTGCCTACATGACTGTGAGCACGTGTCTCCAGGCTGAGCCCGTCTAATGAGGCATTTTTTGTGAGTGCGCACGAGCTTGTGTGATTGTTGGCTGAGAAAGGCTGGAGACAGAGCCCCCTCAGATAGCAGCATCAACAACGGAGCATGTGATGCTTTAGCTGCTGTTTGGTGAAAGAATGGGACTCAGGATTCAGGCAAAACCAGAGGTTCAGAGAAGAGATGAATACTCTGCAGGGGTGAGTCATATCTGGGGCTGGTGTTGTGCAGCACCAGTGCACAACCAGATCAAATGTCCGACCAAGATCCTCCTAAGACGTCAGGAAGCCCTGCCACGTTGTTCCCTGGTGATTTTTCTTTTTTTTTTTAACTTATAGCTCACAGCTTTTGAAGTGGGGTTCTGGGGAAAAATATGATTTATAGATAGATTACTTGTTGTAGATAGATTTTGGAGAAATAGAATAGAGGAAACAACAAAGTCCGTGCTCAATAATCCAGGTGTACAATCCAAAATTTTTCAGCCAGGTCATCTGGACAGTTTCTTTTTTTTGTGTGTTGTAAAGTTTCAGCACAAAAAAGAAACTGTCCAGATGACCTGGCTGAAAAATGTTGGAGAATAGAGGAAAATTCACACTGCATCTTTTTTCTTCAAACAGGGGAAAACAAATGACTTTTGTTCTGACACATAAAGGATTTAAATAGTAAACACCGGCAGCGGTTTGATTCTGTTTTTATTTATATGAGTCTCCATGAATATACATATATATATATATATATAGGAATATGAGTCATCACTCAAAAGGAAGTAGCAACGTGGCAGAGAGGCAAAGGATCTGAATGTGTCGCTTCACTTTAAAGAGTTTAATTCTGAATAAATTTAACGGCACGTTTGAGCAGGGCTGTGACCAAAGTGAGCTGCTGGTAAAAAACCGTGTAATGTGAAAATTGTGGTATTGTACCAATTTATTAAAAAAAGCGTTTGCATAAAGGATATGACATCCGGGAGACTGTAGTTGTTTTAAGGCAGCAGTGAGTCACTTTGGTCTTACTCTCACTCAGACTAGCAGTCAGCTCATCAAACTGAAGCCATTCAAAACGCATCAACAACAGGTAAGATGATAACTGTTCATAACCTTTCCAGAGAACTCAACTTGGACGAATCTGAACTGTTCTGTTTTAATCACAATCTTAGATGCGATTATGTTTTGAACGAATGTGGAGAAAACGAGAATGTCAACCAAGTCAGAGTTATTCCTGTTGCATGTAGGCACCTTGGGGTAAATTAAACCATGGAGTTGTTTTATTGGACCACTCAAACACTCGTGACCTTCCAGTAGTCTCTTCCTCCAAGTGTCTGTACAGTATGAGTGGACTTGAGCCCCAACAAAAGAAAAGCTGACAACCTGGTAATGAACGTCTGTAAAGGTCAATGAACGCACCGAAAAGTCTCGGCCTGAATGTCTGTGATAACGCTTAGCCTGTTTAGAGGAAGTGGTTAGACTGTTGTGTTAGTTTTTTTATGTCTGTCCCTGTCTTCCAGCAAGACACACGGACATCGTCCTCACTGCCGAAGCTGGACCTGCACGTGATCCCCGTGTGGCAGAAAGGCATCACTGGGAAAGGAGTGGTCATCACCGTCCTCGATGACGGCCTCGAGTGGAATCACACAGACATCTTCTCCAACTACGTAAGACACCGTTTCCATGGAGACAGCCTCCCCTCATGTCGGGGTCTGCTGTTGCCACGGCAACGCCACTGGTGACACCTTATGAGGCTCTTCATAAAGACGGCAATAACTCCACTATATGGTGATGATGATGATGATGCGTGTCTCTGAGGGGCTTTGCGGTGTTTAATTACCAGATGCTGAAAACGTTTTGGATGGAAACGACAAAACCTCTTTGCATTTGTGGGCGATGAATTTTTAAACATTTACCATTCCCTTCAGCAGTGCTTAAACGTTGTCTGAATAAGGAGAGCAGATAATTGCAATTATAGTGGAATGTGAGCTCAGTGAGGGTTCATTTTGGCAGAGTTTCTTTTGTTTATGGACACTCTGACAGTCCATCTGTGACAGAGCTACAAACCCTGCTCTTTGAATAGCACCACATCCCCACCAGAGCAGAGGAACACGAGAAAAACAGAAGAAAGATGAGAAGCAGTGTGTGACAACAGAACCCTGATGTAATTATAGTAATGCTTAACAAGCCTATTAATCAACTTTAATAATCAGAGCAAATCATCAGCATGAATTTATATAACAAATAATCGGATCTGATTTAAATCAGGCATTTGATTTAATTGGTTATGAAACTAAATCAGGAGCTGATGCACAGATACGAAGCCTGTTTTATTGTTTTGTTTTTTCACGTCAGTTGATGCGGATCATGTCATCAGTGGACGATAAAAACAGATTGAAAATTTAAAATGTTCAGTGATGACCCTAAGTTCATGCTCGATACAAAATCCAACAAAGTTCAGTCAGGTCGTCTGGACGGGTTCCTTTGTTTGTTGAGATGTTTCATCTTTCATCCAAAGGACTTCATCAATCCGGGTGGCTTGTTTGGAAATGATGTTTTGAACCACTTTGGACAGGCCCCAGAAACCATCTTATCACCAGCAAACTGGTTGGTCCGTTACGTGAGTGTGCTGCTTGTGGGACTGAGTTTGTTTGTGGCTCCGTGGACTGATGAAGTCCTTTGGATGAAAGATGAAACGTCACAACAAAAAGAAATCGTCCAGATGACCTGACTGAACTTTGTTGCACTTCTCACTGCATTCGTTAGCTGGGCCAAGTTATCTCCACGAGATATGACATTTTGTTAACGCGACTTCACACGTCGTCAGTCGTGCTGTAGATGTCACCATGGCGACCGGCCGACCCCGACAAGCCGTTCTCTCCTGTCACTGAGCCGGTTGACTGATTCCTGTTTGCTTCCTGAAGGATGCTGCGGCCAGCTACGATTTCAACGACAATGACCCTGACCCTTTCCCCAGATACGACGCCACCAATGAAAACAAGTAACTATTAACTTCAACTAACTTTTTTTTTTTTATTTTAAAATCTGCCTTTTGGTTTTACACTCCTTTAACTTTTTTTTCATTTTTGGAAACAATAAGGATTGAATATATTGATTAAAATAATAGATTATTAAATATCTCACTGCCCTGCAACCAGAAGCAGCGGATCGACACGTTCTTGAGCTCGTTGTTTCTCTACAGACACGGCACCAGGTGTGCAGGGGAGATTGCAATGCAGGCAGACAACAATAAATGTGGAGTTGGAGTGGCGTACAACTCAAGGGTTGGAGGTAAGAACTTTGTTTTGATGCCTTTTTTATTTATGGGTCATTAGTTGACACCATCCCCACACACGACGGGAGTTGTTCTGCATGATGTGTTTTTGGTTTGTTACTTTATTTTAGATTAGTCTTATGTGGATTTGATCACATGTTTTTATTCACTTTTTACCTCGTCTTTCTCTCATCCACCAAAGGTTCTCAGTATTTGTTCCTATTGCTTTTTAACTCCTGTTGTTTCTTCATCTAACACGGGGTGCCCAAAGTGGGGCCCCAAGCTGTCCTCATTATTATATTAAAATTTCCTTTGACGTGCCAGTGTGTTCACACTCAGTCATTCTGACTTGATGTTAAATGGAAAGTCATCCCAATGACTACCTTAATGCCACTATACAGCTGGAGTGGTTATTTTGTGCATTAAATTATTTAATTTTACTAATTTGTATTTTATTTTGACAGACTTCCTACAGCTTCCTGCCACTGAAAAACATTTTCCTTTGATCCTGCGCTAGTACACTTATAAATCACACATAAAGTGTTTAAAAATAGCCTAAATTATAAATATGAACTGGCTTCAGTAGTGATTTTAGCCTCTTTTGGGGGCTGCTCAAGTACCCCTAAATTTAAACTCAGCACCTCTGAAAAATTAAACATAGTTAGGATTTTGTAAGAAACAGTTCTCAAATCTTAGATTCAACAAAACATTGAATATGGAATAAATGACGACAGTCTCAAACAGGCCAGTAAAATCTTTTTTTTTTGGGGGGGGCACGAGTCCTGCCACCTGTCAATCAATCCAGCATGTCAGCAACTGACCAATCAGCAACCTCAATTTGTCCTGAAGTGAACGCCCCTTACCTGCAGAGCTGCAGCTTTGCAGTCAGAGATTTTAATCATGAGTTTAAATATTTTTTTCATGTTAATCTACTGCAATAAATCTCTGTAAAATACACCAAAATGCAGGAAATGGCATCTGTTTTATTCAAAATTCTCTGGGGGAGGACCCCCAGACCCCGCCCCCCACCACCAACACAGCCTGTTCCGTAATGTTCTTTATACAGAATTAAAGGTTAAATAACTGTATGATAAATAAGTGGAGTTTAAAATATTTGCATTTCATGTATAATTGCATTTGGCCCACAGCCCTCTGATAGATTTTTAATTTGGCCCTCTCAGGGAAAAAGTTTGGGCACCCCTGATCTAACACATCTGCATCCCCTTACATGATCACCTTCTGCAAGAAACTGTTCTTCAGGATTGTTTCTGCTACCGTTTGCTTTTTGCTATTTTTTTTAAATTTGCATATGCACCTCACAACTTTACCCCTTTTTTAAACGAGCTGTGCAAAAATTTAATCCATTTTCCTGAATTCAACCACGACACCAAACACAGTTTTAAAAACAAATACAGTTCATCCGCCGGAGTGGAAATGGTTGCAGTTTTATTTATTTGTTTTTATTTACAATATTGTTTATTAGTAAAATCCTAACCATTGCACATCAGCTAAAAAATACAGAAACAACAGAATAAATCATTAACAGCATGCATTGATGAAACTTGCGTTCCTGCATGTTGTCCGCTACTTTGTGTGTAAAAGTTTTAAACAAACATCTGGTAAGATTGTCTAGCACTCAAGTCATGTGATGGGAATGACTCTCAGCTACCACCACATCAAATGTTAGCCTATCATCTGTAAAAATGACCGAGCTGAAGGTAGCTTTGTGTTTTCCTCTCTGCTGTGGCAGCCATCTTGAATCATGATACTAAAAGTTAATCATCTGTAAATGAACATCCAACCTTTACTTTGGACGTTTCATCAAAGTTTGTGGTTCAAGAGGTTTTTTTAACAACCATACGCAGGAAATTGCATGGTTGCCCAACTTTCATGGCAGTAGGCAAAGATAAAATGACAAACACTATAATTACAGACTTTAACTTTGTTTATTTATTTATTTATTTATTTTCAGACAGTTTTTCCTTTCCACTGTCGCCTTCATGCGTGCTCAAGATGAAGTTAAATTCGAAGCAGTCTGCTCCTCAGATAATGTTAAATTATTATTTTTATATATGAGATGACTTCTGTTGTGACTTGGCGCTATATAAATAAACTGAATTGAATTGATTTTTGTATTTTTTTTACTTTTCATATAATCTTGTTCAGATTTACTTACAAACATGGAAGGTTAAATTTGACACCATGCAAATCACTGAGCTCCAGTCCATCTCAGGAGAAGTTCAGAAAACTGCAACATCACCTGTAACAGCCAAAACTTGCTCCTTCTTGCCCAAGACATGCCTTTGACTTTCCGTTTCAACATTTAAACATAACTAAATGTAAAGAGCAAACACGTACAGCTCTAACTGTGCCCTTCTCTCTTTAGGAATTCGGATGCTGGATGGAATCGTGACGGACGCCATCGAGGCGAGCTCCATTGGATTCAATCCAAACCATGTGGACATCTACAGCGCCAGCTGGGGACCCAACGATGATGGCAAGACGGTGGAGGGTCCTGGTCGTCTGGCCCAGAAGGCTTTTGAATATGGCATTCAGAAGGTAAGTTATACAACGAGCAGGTTTTTTTACTCACTGATGTGATCTATAGGGAGCAGGTAACCTCAGCAGTGGTTGGACTCAGATGGATCAGGAGCAAAATAAAAAATGCAATAAGCTGCTAAAAATGAAGCCTCTAAAGACAAAACATCTCAAATAATTTCTAACAAGTCTGAGTCAGGTCCTCTGGATCTGACAGCTTCTAAGAGTGCAGGGGTCTGCAACCTTTACGATCAAAAGAACCATTTCTGCCCCTTCGTTCACTAAATTAAACGTGTCCAGAGCTGCAAAGCCTGCTACAGTTGTCATTATCAAGTGGTGGCCCATGGGCCGCTTTAAGTTTGTTAGAGGGAGCTTTCCTGGCCAGTAGGAGTGAAATTATAAAACTAAAAACATCCAATGATTACTAACATTTATTGATGTTTTTACATTTTGAGACAAAAGAAAAGACCGGATTCCATCCATCTATTTATCCGTGCATTCATCCACTACCTTTACTCGCTTCTTCCTTTTTGTGTTGCAGGGGGTCACTGGTGCCCATGTCCAGGTCACGTCTAGCACAAAATCTGGATTCTTGTCAAGAAAAAAAAAAGACATTATTGTGCCTTTAAAAACAAGAAAGCTAAAATAATGAACTGTGCAGACTTATGTGATTTTTTTTAATTGTGGAGAAACTGAGTATACATGGAAGACACAAAGCATAAAGTTAAAGGGAGTATAATTTACTCTGTGTATTAGTACTAGTATACACATATTTGCAAAGGAAATGGCAGGCAAACTGGTAAAACTAGTCATTTTTGTTGTGGGTATAACATCTATAAAATGCAGTTTTACGTTAGTTTTGGTCAAAGCTTGAAAGAGTCACAAGTTGCAGGTTGCAGACCCCTGTCATAGTGGATCAACCAGTTTGCTGGTGACTCCCAAAACTAGTAGAGGTGCTACCAAGGTGCTGCTTTATAAGATTGTGTGTTTGTCGACCCTCCGACTGAAGAAGTATTTTGGATTAGAGACGAAATGTTTCAACAAAGAAGAATCTGACTCAGCCTTGTTAGATTCATCTACCTGGATTATTGAGCAGCATCAGGACATCGAAAGCAATAAACACTCACCTTTGTTACAGTGACGTGTTCAAAACACCATATGGGTTAAACATACCGTCCTCTTTGTAGGAAGAATCATTGCATCTCATACGTCTAAACGATTTCCCAAATTCTTGCATTCTGTTTACAATAGTCAGTGCGTTGTTTTATTATACATTAAAAATTTTCCATTTTCCAAATAACTGGACATAATGTGATGCAACACATCCGTTATTTGTTTTCGTATGTGCCTTTCTTGTAGGGCCGTGGTGGGAAAGGCTCGATCTTTGTTTGGGCTTCAGGTAACGGAGGTCGTCAGGGTGATAACTGTGACTGTGACGGCTACACAGACAGCATCTACACCGTCTCAATCAGCAGCGCCTCCCAGCAGGGCCTGTCCCCGTGGTACGCTGAAAAGTGCTCCTCCACTCTGGCTACGGCCTACAGCAGCGGAGACTACACCGACCAGAGGATTGTAAGTTACGCGCAGGCGACCTTTCACCTAACAATTATTTTACTGTCGTTTGTAACTTCTTCATGTCGTCGTTTGTTTGCGATGCTTTCAGACGAGTGCTGATCTCCACAATGAGTGCACTCAGACTCACACTGGAACGTCGGCTTCTGCCCCTCTGGCTGCTGGAATATTTGCCCTGGCTCTGGAACAAAAGTACGAACCAACAGCTAAAAAGCACTTCTTACATGTATCGTCTAGTTATACGCTAAATCTTCTTGCTGTCATTGTTTGTTGTCTCAGTCCTGACCTCACCTGGAGGGACCTGCAGCACATTGTGGTCTGGACCTCGGAGTTTGATCCTTTGGCCAATAACCCGGGCTGGAAAAGGAACGGAGCTGGGCTCATGGTCAACAGCCGCTTTGGCTTTGGACTTCTCAATGCCAAAGCCCTTGTGGACCTCGCTGACCCGGCCGTGTGGAAGCACGTGCCAGAAAAGAAGCAGTGCATCGTCAGGGATGATCATTTTCAACCAAGGTATGTGCAGATTTTAGAGTTGCTGCTGTTGGCCTTTTAGAATATTATTAACTTGCTATATTTTTTACTGCTCTTCTAACTTTTGTGCAGACAGAAATAAAACTATTTTATTTTCTTACATTTCCAAAACAATAAACCTTTCTAACTGATAGCCTAAGCTGTCGTATGTATCACCCAAATCTAAAATACTTAAAGATTAAGAGGAAAAAAAAACATTTTTCACAGCCTCCTTATATTTTTGATGTTTTGGATGGCCGTGCGTCTCAAAGAACAGGAGACCCTCCAAGTTTTTGATGTCACATATCATTAAGTTCAGTAAAACATAAAGTATGTGTTCCTTAAAGAGATGGGGTTCTGTGAAAAGATGAGCAATTAATATCTCACCTGTTGCAAAGAGCTTTTAGGGTGAGCTCAGGTTGGGAAATTGGTTTTGTTTGGACCAGAATAATGAGCTGGGACTGGTTTGAGTGGTGCTGCTTCTATAATCAACACTACTCTCTAAAATGTTATAGTAGTTCATGCAAACATTAAAACTTTTACACAACCAGCAATTTCAGAATTATTGCACAAATTATTTAATTTTCTTACTTGAACGCTACAGCTAGCTGCTGCAAGTTGCTCAGGCAAAATATCACATACTTTAAAATAAAATGGAGTGCAATACAAAATTAACAAATATTTAAAAGGTTTAGAAAGCAGAGTTTGAGTTAGCTACTATGATATTTGAGATTGGACTTTTAAGATGGCAACAACTCACTTTTTTGGGGGGGGACTGTATCAGATTAGCTGTTAGCGTTCTCCAAAACAAGATCCTTTAAAATGCTACAAGTAAGAATCATATCCTTTTCATGACCCCACTCAACTCCTGTTTAATGCTACAAATCTGTCTTTATGTTTTCCATCAATAGTTATCTTTATGCTATCTTAAATAAAATCTATGTATTTAAATTCAGATTGGTTAAACTGGCCTTACTGTAACCATCTGGTGGTGGTTGAACCCAAAATGCAGGCAGGACTCAGATGTCTCAGGTTTAAAGTAAAAGTTACTTAATGAAAATAAGCAAAAGGGCTGATGTGGCAGCAGCAACTGACATGAACCACGAGACGACAGGAAAGGAGACAAAACCAGGACGTGGTGCAGAACAGGAGCAAGTAGTCTTCATGAGACAATGTAACAAAGAACACGAGACGTAAACTTATATACACAAGCACTGATGAGACAGAGTGAAAACACTTGGGACAGACAACAGCTGCAGGAGGCAGGGACTTGATTACACCAGGGAGCAACAGCTGGGACAGACAACAGCTGTAGAAGGCAGGGACTT